GAGTCTTTTCACCAAATCGATAGCAAATCGAAAGCCTAAGTGCTGTTCGGGCGAGCTGATGCGCGCATTTTTGTAAATGTAGACATGAATGCGATGACACTTCTTAAATGTTATAGCGCTTCTCGTTTCTTTTAGTAGCACAAACTCGTCTTCCGTCTTGAAGTTCACCTCATGAAATGAACTTCATAAGGATGTGGAGAACGTTAACAGTACGAGTGATTGTGGATTGGTATAAGGGCAACAAGCTCGGAACAGCTCTCGGCACATGGACATTTTTGTGGAAGAGCGTCGTCCTGTTCGCCCATCATATCTTATCTGCGGTCTCAGCGTTTTGGACAGCTGTAGCCGATTAAGGTCCATCTGGTATCGCCGACGATGAAGTCAAAAAGGGCATAAGAAGCACAAACAGTGAGAGTTATCTGTTCAGACCTATTCTCGTAGTAGTACGCAAGCATTCCGAAGGCTGTTCCAATCTAAGGCAACTTATCAACAGGTGCATGGAAAAGGAATGTGATTACGTCTGGTTCTGTCGCCTTGCCCATTTGCTACATGAATTTCCCTTGAAATGAACATTTTCACAAACTGCCAAAACGCCGAAAAATGGTGCGAAGGATTTGATATGCAACGAAATGGATCAGCTCCATTTCGAGCGGTGAGCAGTTGAGCCCGGCAAGAAATGGTTGAGGTTCAGCGCTGGGCAGTAGTGGTTATGCATGACACACCATAGAAGCCAAACACATCACCCACTTGGCATCGACTTCAAAAAAGTCTGGAAGCAAGCCTGTAAGGCGAAAAGGCCGGCGACCAATCGCTTTTGGTAGGATGATGGAAGCTTTAACCCATTCGTGACAATGTCCGCCACTGGTGGTGGACACCGAAATGTCCACTTCGGACCATGTCCACCATATGTGGCGGACGGGCTTTTGATGACAGTCCGAGTTTTTCGAGGACTTTTCCCAATGGTACAAGTCTTCATACCTTCATGCAAATAGTGGACCAACGAGATCTTCAGATATAAGGGTCCCAGGCACGATTCAACTAGCAGCACCTGAGCCCAAAACCTCTAGAAAAATTTCTGCTGAAAAATTGCCGGTAGGGGTTACTCAGTGCCCCGATCACGAATGTGACGTCCTTTTCTGGCGCCGACGCTGATAATGTCCATTGGCGCTATTAGGCGCCAATTTAGCCCCAGATTGGGCGATAATTGCCAATGTCGTACAGGTCTCCCTTCTTGTACAGCAACACAGTCTTGCTGGTTTTCCACGAGGTGGGTACCTTGCATTCCGACAGGTAGCGCGTGAAGAGTCGAGCCAGAGTTTTGACGAGAACTGGCGGAAGATTCTTCAGATGTTCGGGTCTGATCCTGTCGGCTCGTGCGGCTCCACGTTGGCGAATCAGCTCGAGAGTTTCCAGAGATAGACGCTTCTTGGTAATCTTGGAACTCTCTGACTTCTTGGCGCAGTCGTGAAGATGTGCGACAAGCCGTTCGTATTCCTCGTCGATGTTGTCGATGACAGAATCCTCCCAGAGCCCAGCGAGAGAAGTGAAGTGATCCCAGTTGATGACGGTCTTGGGGCTTCGCTTCTTGAACTTTGCGGCTCTCTCTCCTCGCATCGAAAAGCGGAATCTTGCGCGAAGGAGACGGTGGTCGGATCCCGTGTAGAACTTAGGAACAACAGCGACATCGGTCAGGCAAAACCTTCGATTGAAGATGATGTGGTCGATCTCATTATGGAATTGTCCACCAGGAGACTCCCATGTCCAGCGTAGAGAGTAGGGCTTCTGGAACTGCGAGTTACCATGGATGGTATGGGTCGACATGATAAACTCAGACAGCCTTTCACCCTGCTCATTCCACTCCATTCCGTGAGTTCCGATGTGAAGTTCTTCAGCCGTTCTTCTTGGTCCGATCTTAGGTTGAAATCACCGAGATCCTTGAAGAAGGTATGGTCTTTCTTGTAGAACTTCTCCAATTCCATATAGAACGCTTCGAGCTCATCCTCGTCGTAGCTTGATGTTGGTGCGTAGGCGACGAAGATTGTCAAGCCGGAGTTGAACCCTAAGAT